AGAAGAAAGATACGGACGAATAATGAGAAGAAAGTTAAAAAGAGAAAAAGAATACTAAGAAGTAGAAGAAGAAGAAGAATCTTGAAGAGAAAATAAATAAAGACGACAATTATTAATAATAATAGTAACAGCAATGACAATATTCAGTGTTACCATTGTATTTAAATGTGCTAGAAGCAATATGAATGAAAATATATATATTATATATGCTCAAGAAAGACTACATGTTTAGATGCATACAATCTTTTTGCAATAGAGCCACAACAGCGATACCTCCTCACCATAACCAAGAAAAACATACATAGTAAAACAAGCAGACAACTTATTTCGTTCAACTTTAGGAAGAACAACAAAACAAGTACAACAAAGACACGCAATGAGAAATAGTCAATTGGTTTACCATATAACTATTTAAAAGGAGAAAGATTCGAAATAATAATAAAAACAATTCAATTAATGAGATGAATAACTGTAGAACTGTCTTCCCCAAAAAAAGCTAGGAACAAACGTAGATAAAAAGCAATGAACGAATAGTCTCCTTAACGTGTCTGTATTTTTGCTTAACCACATCATTCTGCTCAAAAGTGTCTAAACAAGAGGACTGTTGATAGTTTCATTAGATTTCAATAAATCAAAAAACTTGGTATATTTATATTCCCCATCCAAATCACTCCGAAAACAAATGGATAACAGACTTGGCCACTAACCACGCAAGGCCTAACTCTAATACCAAGTTAATCTAGATCCAACTATGCAAATAATAAAATACATGTAGAAAAGAAAGAGAGAATAAAATATTACGGCTACATTAATATTCCGTAATTGTCATAACTAGTTACAAGATACACTATATTTACAACCCTACTTTAAGAAAAAGACAAAATACTTAGAATGATAAACAAAGATACATACAATCTTCACAGTTAGAAAACGAGGAATACACAAACAGAAAAAAAAGGAATATGAAGAAAACGATGTATGCCAAAACGGGTAAGAAAAAGAAGAACACTGAGGAGAAGAATAAGTAATACTAAGAATAATAAGAAGAAGAAAAACAAAAATATTGAGAACCAAAGAATACTAAGAAGAAAAATAAGAAGATATTGAGAACATTTGAAGAAGAAGAATACCGAGAAGAAAAAGAAGAATATGAGGGGTACAGAGAAAAAGAAAAAGAAGAAAAAACAAAGAATATTGAGAAGAACAAGAAGAATATCAAGAAAAAGAAGAAGACAAAGAGTACTGAGAAGAAGAATACTTAAACAAAGAAGAAAAAGAACACTAAGAAGAAGAATAAAAAGAAAAAAAATAAAAAAAATATTGAGATAAAGAAGAAGAATACTAAAAATAAGAAGACAAGAAATAGAACAAAAAAAGTGAGAAGAAGAATACTCAAGAAAAGAAGAAGAAAAATAATGAGAAGAAAAAGTTTATTCAGAAGAAGAATACAGAAGGAGAATGCCGAAAAGAAGAAAAAGAAAAGGAAAAGGAATACAATCAAGAAGAAGATTACAGAGAAAGAAAATAGAAAGGAATAAGGCTAAAAATAAAAGTAATAAAAAGGATGAAATGAGAAAAACACTGAGAAGAAAAATAAGAAAAAGAGTATTCATAAATGAAGAAGAACAAGAATATTGAGAAGTAGAAGGTGTAGAAAATGAAGAACAAGAAAGAAGAATAAGAATAACAAGAATACTGAGAACAAGACGAAATAATATTACCAGTAAGAAAAAGAAGAATACTGAGAAAAAAAAATGAAGAAAATCATGAAGAAGAAGAAGAAGAAGAAGACCACTCAGAAGAAGAATACAGACAAGAAAAGAATGAAGAAGATTAGCGAGATGAAAAACAACACCACAAAAAAAACAACTGAAAAAAAGAAGAATACAACGAAGAAAAACAAGAATATTGAGAAGGAGAAAAACAAGAAAAAGATGATTAATAAGAAGAGAAAAAAAAATACTGAAAAGAATAAGAATATAGAAGATAAAAAAAAAGTCTAAGATAAATATTGAAAGGGAGAAGGAGGATACTGACGAACACTTAAAAGAGTTCAGAAGAAATGCTATTAAGAAAAGAAAAAAATGATACTGAGAAGAAGAGGAAAGAATATTGATAGAAGGGAAGATGAAGAAGAAGATAAAGAACAAGAAGAATACTCAAAAGAGGAAAAAGATGGCGATGAGGAAGAAGCATGAGAATACCGAGAAAAAGAATTAAAATAAAAAACGAAAGAATAAGAATATTGAGAAGTAGAATAGGGGAGAAGCAGAAAAAATAGAAGATGATGATGAAGAATATAAAAAAAAAAAGAATACAGAGAAAAAGTATACGAAAAAAAATAATACGAAATAATAATAATAGTATAATAAGAAGAAGAAGAACAAAAAAACACTGAGAAGAATAATACTTATAAAAGAATAAGTAAAAGAAGAAGAGTACTCGTAAAAGAAGAAGAAGAATACTGACAAGAAAAAGACGAAGAACAAGAAAGAAGAATACTCAAAACAAGAATAGTGAAAAGACGAAAGAATATTATCGGGAAAAAGAATACTAAGAAAAGGAAGATAAAGAAGAAAAATACTTAGAATAAGAAGAAAGGGATCACTAAGAAAAAGAACAAGAAGAAGACTACTCAGAAGAATAATAAAGCAACAAAAGACTGAGAAAAAAGAAGACGACGAATAGTGAGACGAAGAACTACAACACTGAGAAGAAGACTACTAAAAAAAAGAAGACAATTGAGAAAAAGAAGAAGACAACTGAGAAAAACGAAAAGAAGATGAGTAAGATGAAGAACAACAACACTCAGAAGGAGGAGAAGAAGAAGACACTGCTAAGAAGTAAAAGACTACTACAAAGGAGACGGCAAATAAGAACATTACTAAGAAGAACACTACTAAAAAATAGATGAGGAAGAACACTATCTTCTTCATAGTATTTTTTTTCTTCTTTTTTGTAGTGCTCTTCTTCTTCGTTGTGTTGTTAATTTTCTTCCATTTTGCAGTCGTTTCTTCTTCGTAGTATCCTTTTTGTTGTTTTTCTTTTTCGTAGGCTTTCTCTTTGTAGGCTTTGTATTCTTTTTCTTCATAGTCATCTACTTCTTCTTCGTCATCGAGCGTTCTTTTTTTTTTTTGTAGTCTTGTTCTTCTTTGTAGTCTACTTTTTGTTCTTCGTAGTGATCTTATTTTTCTTCTTCTTCATAGTCGTCTTCCTCATATTCTCTTCTTCTTCGTAGTCTTCCTTCTTTTTCTTCTTTGTAATCCTCTTCTTCGTAGTCCTCTTACAAATTTTTTTATTCTTTTCTTCGTAGTCTTTTATTTCTTCTTGTTCATAGTTGTCGTCTTTTTGTTCATAGTTTTCTTCTCTTATTCGTAGTCTTTTTTCTTCCCAATATTATTCTTCTTCTTCTTCGTAGTACTATTCTTCTTTGTAGTCTTCTTTTTCTTGTTGGCAATGTTACTCTTCTTTGTAGTATTGCTCATCTTTATAGTCTTCTTGTTCCTTGCAATCTTTTTCCTAGTTTTTTTCGTAATCTTCTTCTGGGTAGTGTTTTGCATGGTCGTCGTCTTGTTCATATTCTTCTTTTTCTTCTTTTTAGTTTTTTTTTTTCATAATTTTCTTCTTTTTGTAGTCGTCATCTTTTTTTCACTTTTTTTTTCTGCGCAGTTTTCTTTTCTTTTTTTTTCTGCGCAGTTTTCTTTTCTTTTTTTCATCATCTACTTCATAGTTATTAGTATCGTACGTATCGTACGATATATTACGATACGGAAGTAAAACGATATAGATCGTAGTTATGTATCGTTTTTGCGTTGTATCGTCCAATACACAATACGTTTTTACAATACGACCGATAAGCGCAAAATGTATATTTTTTTTTCTCTGAAACGACGTCGTTTTGTCTAAATAAGACACTAATTTTTTTATCCCCGTCACTGATGAAACGACGTCGTTTTGTCTAAATAAGACACTAATTTTTTTATCCCTGCCACTGATGAAACGACGTCGTTTTATCTAAATAAGACACTAATTTTTTTTTTTGTATAAAAATTTTTGAATCTTGATTAATTTTATGGATTGAGTTCAAAATGGATGTTAGAAATTTAGATTAAAAGTCTCTTTGGTGTTTGAAGTTTAAATTAGTGAACTATGGTTGCAAACTTTGCATTATAATATTAGTGAACTATATTGATGACTTGAATAGGTGGTGGGAGTATTAATGAAATGCTATATTTTTAAAAGTGTATGATTTTTTTTCAAATGTATATAGATATTTTTATTATTTATTTAAAATTACACCGTATCTTACGATACACGATACGATACACTATTTTTAAAAAATGATACGCCTTCCGATACACGATTTGATAACTATGATCTACTTGTTCATAATCATGTTCTTGTTCTTCGTATTCTTGTTCACAGTCTTTTTTATGTTTTTCTTTTTTGTAGTCGTTGTCTTCTTCACAGTTTTTTTCGAGTTCTTGTTCTTCGTAGTTTTCTTCTTATTGTTCGTCATCTTTTTCTGCTTCATAGTCCATTTCTACTTCTTTTTCATAGTGTTTTTCCTCTTCTTTGTGGTCTTCTATTTCCCCGTCATAGTAGTCTACCTCTTTGTAGTCTTCTTTTGTTTTTCCTTCTTCTTTATCGTTGTGTTATTTTTCTTCTAGTTCGTAGTCTTCCTTTTTGAAGTTTTCTATTTCTTCTTATCCGTAATCTTTTTTCTTCGTAGTGTTCTTCTTAGTAGTGTACTTCTAATTCTTCGTAGTATTATTCTTCTTTGTAGTCATCTTATTATTCTTCTTCATAGTATTGTTCATCTTTGTATTCTTCTTTTCTTTTCATTTTCTTTGTAGTTTTCTTCTTTTTTATCATAATTTTTCTTTTTCTTCTTCTTCCTCTTCATCATCGTCATCGTAGTCTTCTTTTTCTTACTTTTCTTCTTCGGATTTTTCTTTATAATCTTATTTTTCTTTGTAGTCTCCTACTTTTTCTTCTTCTTAGTCTCCTTCTTTTTCTTCTATGTAATCTTCCTTTTCTTCGTGGCTTTTTGTAGACTTCTTCTTTATAGTAGTCTTCTTCTTCTTCATAGTTGTCTTCTTTCCTTTTAGTCTTTTTTCTTTTTCTTCGCTGTCTTTTTTATCGTATTCTTCTTCTTTATTGTAAATGTTCATAGCATTTGTAGTCTTTGTTTTCTTCATAATTTTCTTCTTCTTCCTTGTATTCTTTTTTTCGTAGTCTACTTTTTCTTCGTAGTCTTCTTCTTCATAGTTTGCTTCCTCTTCGTCGTCTTTTTCTTGGTCTTCTTCTTCTTCCTTTGCATTGTCTTCTTCGAGATCTTCTTATTCTTCATAGTATTGGCGAATCGAAATTTTGGAGTTGTATTAAAAAATTGATGAACAAAGGAACAGAAGTACTGAACATATACTCAACAAACTAAAGGCAACAAAGAAGACAAATACTCAACAAACTAAAAGAATCAGAAAAAACACACCCACATACAACACACTTTAAAGATCCACCATTGTTGAAGCTTCGATTGATGACCCACCAAAGAGAAACGGAAGAAGAGAAGACAACTAAGGGGCATAAATTGCAGATCTGGTTCGAGATCCACCATGGTGGTTCACTAAGATCTAATCGTCAACTGAGAGAAAGATCTGATTTGCTGAGCTTTGGTTTGCTCTTCGACCCATATCTACTCATTCGGGGTTGCTCGTCGAGTGATAGATCTGTGGTCGCTTGTCGACTAAGATTTAGGATTGCACATTAGCCGAGATCTAGGGTCGCTCAACTGAGATCTAGCGTAGCTCTTCGACTATGAGAGAGAAAGAAGGAGGGGCTAGAGAGAGGGACTAAGGGAAAATGCGGGTTAGGGATTTAGGGTAAAACTAGAGAAGTAATTTTATATTTATATGAATATATTAAATTATATACAATTATTAATTAATAAAAGTAGGAGTCAGAGTCACTTCTTTTGGAAAAGGATTTCAAACTCCAACTCTGCCTGAGTCGAAGTCGAACTAGAGTCAGAGACGAAGTCAGATTTTCAGATAGTTATAGTCTTTTTCTTCACCATAGTTATAGTCTTATTTGTAGTTTTATTCTTCATTTTCTTCTTTGTCGCCATCTTCATCTTCTTCTTTTTTCCAGTAGTCTTCCTTTTCTTCGTAGTCTTCTTTTCTTTGTAGACTTCTTTCTTCTTTTTCATACTCTGCTTCCTCTTTGTAGTCTTTTTTATGGTCTTCTTCTTATTTTTCTTCTCTTCGTGGTCTACTTATTCTTTTTTTTTATATTATTCATAGTGATCTTCTTCTTTATTCATAGTCTTCTACTTATTTTTCTTCGTATTCATCTTCTCATCATAATTATTTTTTTTTTCTTCTTCTTCGTTATAGTCTTCTTCTTTTTCCTAGTATTCCTTTTCTTCGTCGTCTTCTTTTCTTTGTAGTCTCCTTTCTTCTTCTTTTTCATAGTCTTCTTCCTCTTTGTAGTATTTTTTATGGTCTTCTTATTTTTTTTCTCTTCATGGTCTGCTTATTCTTCTTTTTTGTATTTTTCATAGTGTTCTTCTTTATAGTCATCTTTGTCCTTCATAGTCTTCTACTTCTTTTTCTTCGTATTCATCTTCTTCATCACACCCTTTTTCTTCTTGGTTTTTTTTCTCATAGTCGTCTTCTTCCTTCATAGTCATCATCTTCATCTTCTTTTTCCCCATAGTCTTTTTTTTTTTGTCGTAGTTTACTTTCTTCTTCTTCTTCATAGTCCGTTTCCTCTTCGTAGTCTTTTCGTGGTCGTTTCTGCTTTTTATTCATGTTCTTCTTACTTTTTGTATTCGTCTTCCTTTTTTCGGTAGTCTTCATAGTTTATTATTCTTCTTCTTTTTCTTCTTTTTCCTCCATATTATTCTTCTTCTTTACAATCTTCTTATCCTTGTTCATAGTCTTCTACTTTCTTTTCTTTGTGTTAGTCTTTTTCTTCTTCATAGTCATCGTCTTCATCTTCATCTTCTTCCTAGTAGCTGTCTTCCTTTTCTTCGTAGTCTTCATCTCCGTAGTTCTTCTTCTCCTTCGTAGTTTTTTTTCTTCTTCGCCTTCGTAGTCTTCCTCTTCTACCTCCTCATGGTCTTCTTCGTAGTATTTCCAATCTTCCTTTTCTTGTTCTTCATAATCTTTGTAATCATCCTCTTCATAATAATAGTTTTCTTTATAGTCTTTTTATCCATATTCATAGTGTTCTACTTTTTTTTTTTCGTATTCGTCTTTTTTTTCTTCTTCATAGTTATCTTCTTCATCTTCATCTTCATAGTCTTCGTCTCCGTAGTGTTCTTCTCCTTCTCCTTCGTAGTCTTTTTTTCTTTTTCGCCTTCGTAGTCTTCCTCTTCTACCTTCTCATGGTCTTCTCTTTATAGTATTTCCAGTCTTCCTTCTTTTTCTTGTTCTTCATAATACTTGTAGTCATCCTCTTCGTAATAGTAATTTTCTTCTTTTGAGTCTACTTTTGCAGTGCTCTTCGTAGTCTTTATTTTCTTCTTCATAGCCTTTTTCTTCATCGTCTTCTTCGTAGTCTCTCTTTTCATCGTGCACTTCTTCTTCCTCTTCTTCGTAGTAATGGTGGTGGTGGTGTTCTTCATCTTTTTCTTCGAATCTTCATTTTCTTAGTCGTCTTCTTCTTCATAGTTTTCTTTTTTTGCATTGGCGTGTTAATCTTCTTCGTCGTTGTCGTCGTCCTATGCTTCTTCTTCTTTGCAGTCTTCTTTTTCTTATCATACTTGTACTCTTCTTCTTTGTACTTCTTTTTCGTTGTCTAATTCTTCACAATTTTCTCTTTCTACTTCTTCGTAATCTTCATTTTCGTAGTCGTCTTCTTCTTTATAGTTTTCTTTTTTTGCATTGGCGTGTTAATCTTCTTCGTCGTTGTTGTCGTCCTATTCTTCTTCTTCTTTGCAAACTTTTGTACTTCTTTTTCGTAGTCTAATTCTTTGCAATTTTCTCTTTCTACTTCTTCGTATTCTTCTTCGCTTTTTCTTTCATCTTTTTCAACGTCGTCAAGTCTTTTTTTTTTTGGGAAGTGTTCTTCTTAATTGGATTCTTATTCTTCTTTTTTGAAGAACACCACCACCACTACAAAGAACAAGAGGAAGAAGAAGAACACTACAACGACTGCAAAGAAGAAAAAACAAAAGTCTTACAACAAACAATAAGTCTACAAAGAAGAAGAATAAGAAACTACAAAGAAGAAAAGACCAAGAAGAAGAAGAACACTAGTAAAGAAAACAAAAAAAAAAACTACTAAGAAGAAGAATAAGAAGACAACAAGTACTAAGACGCAGAAGAAGTAGAAGACTATGAAGAATAAGAAAACTACGGAGAGGAAGACTACTATGAAGAAGAAGACAGTGAAAAGGAAGACAATGTAGAGCAAGACTACGAAGAAGAAAAAGAATAAGAAGAACACTACGTAGAAGACTATGAAGAGGAAAACAACTATGAAGTCTTCGAAAAAGAAGAAGAAACAAATCAACAACAATACGAAGAAGATGACAAAGAAGAATACGACGAATATGAAGAACAAAAAAAATACTACAAAGAAGACGACTAAGAAGAAGAAGAAAAAGAATATGACTACGAAAAAAGAAGAATTGGTGACGGAAAATAAGAATACTAGGACGAAGAAAAATAAGGAAACTATGAAGAAGAATACTACGACGGAGAAAAATAAAATCACTATGACAATGAAGAATGACAGAGAAATAGAGAAAAATAAAAAGACTATGAAGAAGAAGACGACTACAAAGAAAACCACAAAAAAAATAACGAAAAAGAATAAGAGAATTATGATGAGGAAGAGTGCGAAGAAGAAAAACAACATTACAAAGAAGCGGAAGAAGAACACTACGAAGAAGAGAAGAAGAAGACGAATGCGAAAAAAGACTAAAAACAAGAAGCCTACAAAGAAGAAGAAGAAAAAATACAATTACGAAGACTGCGAAGAGGAAGACTATGAAGAATAAGAAGAAGACTATGAAGAATAAGAAGATGACTACGAAGAATAAGAAAAAGAAGACTATGAAGAACAAGAATTAGAACAAGAACAAAAAGGCCATGAAGAAAAAGAATAAAAAGACTGCAAAGAGGAAAACTACGAAGAAAAAGAACAATAAGAAGAATAATATGACTACGAAGAATAAGAAGCAGACTACAAAGAATAAGAAGAAGAAGACTGTGAAGAATAAGAAGAAGACGACTAAGAAGAATAAGAAGAAGAAGACTATGAAGAACAAAAAGAACAAGAACAAGAAGGCCATGAAGAAAAAGAATAAAAAGACTACGAAGAAGAACAAGAACAACAACAATACTATGAAGAAGAGATAGAAGAACACTGCGAATAAGAAGAAGACTACAAATAAGAAGAAAATTAGAGATGACGACAAATGACGGAAAAAAAATGACTACAAAGAAAAAGAATAACAAGGCAACAAAGAGGAAGAAGAAGAAGAGCACAACACCACCACTACAAAGAAAAAGAGGAAGAAGAAAAGAAGAAAACACTATGAAGACTATGAAAAGAATTGCAAAGAAGAAAAAGAACAAGATTGTGAAGAAGACGACGGTTACAAAAAGAAGAAGAGAATACGAAGAAGTAAACTATCAAGAAGAAGACTATGAAAAAAAATACTGAAGAAAAAGTAGGAGAAGAAAACTCCAAAGAAAAAGACTGAAGAATAACGCGGCATGCTCGAATTATGATTGCTTTTACGCGAGAAAGGGGGACCACCCTCTAGGCCTAAGTATTCCTCAATGACCGATAACGTACAAGTACTCTGTGTGGGGGGGGGGGTCTCTTCCCAAGGGAAATCAAAATAATTGTACAAGCATCACATCTGACTCCACAACTTCCGAGAGCTTGTGGTGTTCGCAGATACACGGATCAAGAGGTGCGGTTTGGTCATCGTCCCGAGCACTAGCCATCAAAGGTGCGTGATTGCAAGGCAAGCAACAAGCTGGCTCACTTATGATCCACTGAAATAGTAAAGGAGTGGGGCTCAGGTCATGCGACGGATACAAGCTGGACTTTGAAGCAAAAAATCCAATCTTTCATAAAAGAAGGAAAAATCAACGCGCGGATGAACAAGACTACTTCTATTCTTGGGCATCGTGCCTCAAATAGACTAGGCTCTTTCATTCCTTAGTAATCTCCTTCATTCATGCCTTATCTTTATTATTAGTAAGCCCCTTCACGTCTTTTCTCAGTGACACATTTTATTTGGCAGTTTTTTGGATGTTAAATACCATTAGATGGGATGAAGGAGCTGGAGCAATATTTAGTTGGGAATGGACCATATGGGTCTCTTCTGGTGGGCTGTGCGAAAGAGCAACTAAAAACATTATAAAGAAGAAGCCTATGAAGAAAAAGAAGTCGATTACAAAGATGAAGAAGAAGATGCAGAAAGAGCAAGAACAAAAAGAAGCCCTTGAATGAGAGAAAGCGAAGATAATGCAATTGCAAGACAGAACATCTTTTTTTTTCCTCCGTGTCTAGCTGATAGTCACTCTTAGTCTTAGCAAAAAGGTATGGGATGCAAACAAAAACAATCCCGCACAACATATTCCTTTGCCACCATAGAATTTTGGAAACAGAGGACAAATTGATGCTCCCGATGATTCTAATTCCCCTAGACTTCCATCATGAATCA